AATACCTTGATGAGTCCAGGTTAAACCTTGAGAGAGGAACTGTTGGGTCCAGAGACTGTTTAGTTCAGCAGAGTCCAATAACCGCTTCAGCGTCTTACTTCTGACTTGAGGGCAGACCTTGGTTTGGGTTTCCAGCTCTTAGCCAAGAGCTGCAAGGGAATCCAGAGAAGAGTCTTCAGGTTTGGCTCAGAGGGCAGGCTCAGCAGGTTTAGCTCATCCAGAGCTTCCAAGGGAAACAGGATTCCTGTGAAGCAGAGACAAGGAGGAATTAGAATCAGATCTCAACAGAGATAACTAAGATTCTCAGGAGTTCACTAGGCTCAGGTGCTAACCAAACTGGATCAACACTGCGGCGTTGAGGCAAGGTCTAAAGGCAGGTTATATACAGGAGGATCCTCTGATGACGAGATGCGCCACAGGTGTGTTGGAGGCTCAGCTCAGGAGGATTCACGGCGCACTCTGCTGGAGAAAGGTGGTACAGCTCCAGATCCCAACAAAAACAACAACCAATGAAGAAACAGACATGAGTGTTTCCAAGCCGTGAATCCTTAAAAGAAAAACAAGGCATCATGGACAGTGAGTGGGAATCTCTTTTTGCCAATATTGAGACAATGCTGCTTACTCTGACAGTGGATGAGCTAAATGCCCAAGTGAAGCATTAGACTTGCAGCTGCATGTGCAATATGCAAGATTGAGGTAAATCAGCTCGCAAACTCTTGTAACTCTGCTTCAGCAGCAGGATACATTTGCGATCACCACAGTAGGCTAACCGAATTTTAACATTTTCATCCCACCATTAGATTTCCAATTCATAGGTAGTTGGGAGAGGCTAATGGATACTCATTATGTCCTGTATATTACAGAATGCACGATGAGCATACAACTCGGCTTGATCAAAAAATTCTCCCATCACTTAAAAATCAGCTAATAAAGGTGCAAAAACTTGTACAATAAATGCCTGTCATTAGGTTAACCTAAAAAAACTCAAAATAATAAAAATAATAATGAATGTTGAAGTGATTGTGGACAGGAGTAAAATAACGGCTGGTGACAGGTGACTTTATAATAAGAATAAAATAATTAAACTTTATTGATTTTACATTGGATACATTTACCTCTACGTTTAACCCATTGTGCGGCGCCTGGGGAGCAGTTTGGCGTTAAGGGTCTTTGCTCAGGGATCCAGAGTGGCAGTCTGTCGGAGTGTGGCTTGACTTCAGAACCTCTGGACTTGCAGTGCAATGCCCTAACAACTAGGCTGCCATTCCTCTTCTTTTTTCCAGCTTTTATTGCCATTACAATGTCAGACGTACAGACCTCCCTCAGCTGTGCATTAATCTTCAGACCAAGAAGAAGCAAAAGTGGCAGCATCTGCTGAAAAATGAGATATCATTGGCCAGCTTATTCCAGCACTTTCACTAACAGGGAGGCAAGAGAAAAAGTTTTCTCTGAGGTGGAGTCTCAGAGGTAGAAAATGAACTTTTTAGGCCCCAGTTCTCTGTTTGTGTAAAAGGCGAGACTCTGAAATGATGGAAGGAACATGAAGTTTCCTATCCACTGAGCCTCCTGGCCAAGAAATATCTTGATGTGCCTGCTGCCAGCTCACATTCTGACAGGATTCTCAGTTCCAGTGGGAGCATTGTAACATCCCAAAGGTCATTAATGTATTTTTTTATCTTAGCTCCGCATCTTTGGTTATATTTTAATTTTACAGCTGGGTCGTTTTGTTATGTTGTGTTTTGAGGAACATCATTATTTAATATTTGCCACAAGATCATTTATGAGCCATTTCCGCTGTTTAATAGGTGTGTCCACATGTGACAAAGCATTAACTCAGAAGTATATGCTTTATTTTTAACTTATGAAAAGAAAAAAAAACTTGAGATCAATATTGTGCATCTTAATTCAGCTGCAAAATATCAAAATCATTATTTTTGGTCTATATCGTCCAGTCCTAACAAGAGCAAAACACCAAAACTCCTGAAGTAAAAAAAATCAATACCTAACTAGGAATGAGATGAAATTATTCAAATGAAGACCTTGTTTTGAAAACATTGTGATATAATAACCAGGGGACAAAACAGGTTTATTAAACTCAGATTCAAATTAGCTACTCTAAATTGATCGAGCCTTATTTCGGGAACTCTGAGTTTTCGGCTTCACTATGGCTGCTATGAATTAGTTTAATCCACTCAAAGTAGGTCAACACAGAGTTTAGAGTGTGTAACAAGTATGAAAAGCCATTATAAGTGGAGCACCGATTCGACGAGTCACAATGACAACAGGAATAGCCTATTTCACCCCACTGAAACTAAAGGTTTTAATGAAGAAATAAAAAAATGTAGAATGTGTCTAAAAGACAGAGAAACAGAACTACAGCTGCAAAGGAGAGGAAGTTGGAAGGAGAAGATTGTTGCTCGACTTAATGCGTATGTTTATATGAACTGGGCTATGGCAGGCAGTTTTTACATTTATTAAAATTACTATCCTTTCTGTTATTCCATTGTAGATCACTAAAATAAGATTCTTCCTAATCAAAAGTACTCCCCTAACTGTAATAATATATCTTCTAAATTTCATTTTTGCAGCAAAAACTGAATTTCAGAAAAAAATACACCTGTAAGAATTAAGTTTTGTATACCTGATATGTTTTCATATTTTAAGTGGGTGTTTTTAAATGTATCTGTCTGACTGAATAAGTAGTATTTATGATATCTGAAATAAATTTCTTTATAGTCTGAGTTACACAAATGCTGACCACTAAGGATAGTAATATGTAGATCTGAAATAAATTATTTTTTAAGTCTAGATGTGAAGAATATAATTTAGTTTGAAATGGTGATTTTGACAAGCTTTTTTTTTTTTGAGATATCAGGAATACATATCAAAACGGCATGCCATAGGGGGTGTTGTTACCCCCATAACATTACGGGTTTATTTCTTGAATGGTAGTGGATCAATGTATCTATTTAGGTGAAATAACCTTTTCATCATTTCATGTGTTCTTAGTTTGATTCTGTCTTCTATTGCACAGTAAATACTGAGTGGCTGTTTGCAGCTTCTTTGCATGTTATCATCCCAGCAAATGGTCGTTATTAGTGGTTATCATTCCCATAGAATGGCTTCAAATTGTGCCAGTTGGCTCATTAGGTTGTTATCACCAAATTAATCCTAACTCTAAGGAAGTTTGTCTTTCCCCTTGTAGAATTTTTAATGTATTTATGTGTAATCTGAAAATTATTTCAGTATTTCTTTGTGTACTGCAAAAATAAATAAATGAAAATATATTGATCCGCATCTCACTCATATTAAACAAACCAAAGACAATTACAATCTCACATCCTGTCAGTGAGTTGAAGAATCCTCTCCCAATAATTATTTAATTATCTGTGAAAAAATATGTTGATCATCCTTTGATAAGATCCTGGTCAAAAGGACATGCAATATTTGCTTTTAAAACCTAATGTGTCTAACAGACCTAGTGAATTATTTTTTACGATAGAAATCTGACTAAATCAGGATATAAAACAATGTGATTGGCTGTAAGGAGAGCGGAGACAGAGGACACTGAGTTTACTGAATAAAACCTGCTACCGACCATGTTAGCTCTGGGGAGAATGTTACTATGGCAACTGAAACAGAGGTTGACTAAACTCTCTTTGGGAAATGGAAAACTCAGAGTTTCCCCTATTCAGGTTTAGACAACTAAAATTTCAGTAAACCTGCTTCGTGAAACTGACCCCATGAAAGAAGATGGTTTATGTTTGGAGCTCAGCAACACCATGGGTGTTTTCCTTCTAAAATTATTTGTTACCATTTTTTTGGGCAATAATCCATTAGAGGAGTCAGTATAGATACTCATTTTGGTTCCTGAACAACCAGACTGGGTTTTGAGGAGACTGTAGAGCTCTAGGACTTAATGGAGTTTGTCTTTCTCCATAGAGATTGGATCTTATTAAGGCCAATCTTTTTGTAAACACTGAATGAAACCAAGAAATGTCCTTCTGACTCATGGTTTTCCTCTGATTTCAGCTGTAGGTTAAGATGTGTTCTGAGGAGATCCTTGTCAACATCCTGGATGAGTTGGTACAAGAAGAATTCATGCGCTTCAAATGGCACCTGATGAATGAGACCTGGTATGGAATGCAGCCCATCAAAGCCAGCAAGTTGGAGGGGGCTGAAAGGCTGGAAGTTGTTGACCTGATGATGCAGAAGAACCATATTAGTGGGGCTGCAGTAATCATGGGAAACATTCTTAAGAAGATCAGAAGGAATGACCTAGTGAAGGAGATAGAACAGCTGACTGAAGGTCAAAGGTCAACTCAAGGTCAGTCTCAGACAGAACCTCATCTCCCCTTTAAACAGTTGATCTCCCTTGAACTTCAGAGTTCAAACCCTTGGTGGAGATGCTGATTTAGCAGTGAGCAGAGTATGTTGATCATAAACTGACCCAGGTCTCAGGTTTTTAGGGACACGTGCTTTAGGACCCAGTCTGATGTAACCCAGAGATTCATGAGACCTCAACATAATCTCACTTTGTACCTGCTTGAAGCACAGAGACCTTAGCCACACCTGTGCTCTTCCTCCTCAGTTCTCTTCCTCAATTCTGCATATTTTGTGTTGTGGTTTCACCTGCGATGTTTAAACAGGGTCGTTGTCTTTCAAAAACTTTTCTCATTTTTCCCACAAACATCTTTGATCGCTTTTTGGCGCTTTGGATCTGCCATCTTATGCGTCAGAGGATTGGCAGCCATTTGGCAGCTAGGATTTAATGGCGATTGTTATTTATCATAGCTATTTTATTTTATTTTTTTACTTTTTTTGAACAAAAAACTATAAACTTTGACTTTAATTGTAAACAAACTGAATACTACTATAAAAATTGTGTTACTTTTAATAACACTAGACGATGCCTTCAGATAGAACACTGCAAACAGCATTAGCAGAGCTACAATGGTTTTATATCAGGTGTGAATGATCTGAGAAATAGAGGCCCCAACATCTAATACTGCTTGGGTAGGCCCTGGTTCAGAGATGTGTACACATGGTTTCATACATCTGGATTTTCTTTTGTATGGATTAAGCTTCAGGATTTCTCTCTAGTGCTGCTTTTTTTATAACAGCTGCAAACACTGTGTATGATGTTAGACACAGGATTTACTTCCTTGCTTTGACACATAGATTTAAGAAAATAGTGTTTTTGCCATAGAAATACAAAGAACCCACAGAGAATCTCAGAAATAGTTTTTATTCTTTGTATTATTCTAAAATGTCTCCTATGTCTTTGTCTCTTCATTCAGAGGTTGTTAGTCAATGTCAACGGGACCTTAAAGTGTCTCTGAAGAAGGAGTTTGAATGTGTCTCTGAAGGCGTTGCTAGAGCTGGAGAGAAAACCTCTCTAGATGAGATCTACACAGAGCTCTATATCACCAAGGGAAAGGCTGGAGAGGTCAATCATCAACATGAGGTGAGAAGGATTGAAGCAGCATCCTGGAAACAAAACAGAGCAGGAACAACAATCAGACCAGAAGACATCTTCAATCCACCTGGAGGAAGGGATCAGATCAGAACCGTGATGACGATGGGCGTGGCTGGCATCGGGAAAACAGTCTTAACACAGAAGTTCACTCTGGACTGGGCTGAAGGCAGAACCAACCACAACATCCAGTTCATATTTCCATTCACCTTCAGAGAGCTGAATGTTCTGAAAACAGAGTTCAGCTTGGTGGGACTGATCCATAAACACTTTAAGCCAATCAGAGATGCAGGGATCCACAGCTTTGAAGACTTCCAGGTTTTGTTCATCTTAGATGGTCTGGATGAGAGTCGACTTTCTTTCCACCACAATAAGATCCTGACTGATGTTACAGAGTCCACCTCAGTGGATGTTCTGCTGACTAACCTCATCAGGGGGAAACTGCTTCCCTCTGCTCTCCTCTGGATAACCACACGACCTGCAGCAGCCAATCAATTCCCTCCTGAGTGTGTTAGCATGGTGACAGAGGTCAGAGGGTTCACTGACCCACAGAAGGAGGAGTACTTCAGGAAGAGGTTCAGAGATGAAGAGAAGGCCAACAGGATCATCTCCCACATTAAAAGATTAAAAAGTCTCTTCATTATGTGTCACATTCCCGTTTTCTGCTGTATCACTGCTGGTGTTCTGCAGGGTTTGTTGGAGACCAGAGATGGAGGAGAGCTGCCAAAGACACTGACTGGGATGTACATCCGCTTCCTGAAACTTCAGATAAAAAAAAAGGGAGAAAAGTTCAGTGGAGGTGCTGGCGAAGATGAAGAAATCAGGAAGATGGTTCAGTCTCTGGGAAAACTGGCTTTTGAGCAGCTGTTGGAAGGAAACCTGATCTTCTATAAATCAGACCTGGAAAAGTGTGGCATCGACATCAAAGATGCTTCCTGGTTTTCAGGAGTGTTTACTGAGATCTTTAAAGAGGAGAGAGGGATGGGTGACACCTCAGTCTACTGCTTTGTTCATCTGAGCTTCCAGGAGTTTCTGGCTGCAGTCTACATGCTCCACTGCTTCATCATCAGGAACACAGAGGTGGTGGAGAACTTCCTGGGAGAAAGATACAGAGAAACATCTCTGGAGGACTTCATTAAAAAAGTCATGGAGAAATCCCTCAGGAGTCCAAATGGCCACCTGGACCTGTTTGCTCGCTTCCTTCATGGCCTCTCTGTGGAGTCCAACCAGAGCCTCTTAGGAGGCCTGCTGGCTCAGATGGAGAACAGTCCAAGAACCATCCAGAGAGTCATCAACAATCTGAAGCAGATGAACACTGATGGTGGTGTCTCTCCTGATAGAAGCATCAACATCTTCCACTGTCGTCAGGAGATGAAGGACCTCTCAGTTTATCAGGAGATCCAACAGCTCCTAAAATCAGGGAAGGAGCTCTCAGAGAGCCAGTGCTCAGCTCTGGCCTACATGCTGCAGATGTCAGATGAGGTTTTGGATGAGTTAGACCTGGAGAAGTACAACACATCAGAGGGAGGACGACGTAGAATGGTTCCAGGTGTGAGGAACTGCAGAAAGGCTAGGTGAGTCCAGATGTCTTCATGGTGTGATGCTGATTCAGCTCTATTGTCCTCCTGGTTTTTCTTCATGGTTCTATTTGCTTCTGGACGTTTTTGCTCTTTAACTTCTTCCTTCATCCTTTGGACCATTTCAACCATTCAAACATCTAAACGTTCAGCTCCTGCAGGACAGCTCTGCTGGAGCTTTTGGTGTTTAGAGATTTGGATCATTTTCAAAATATTCCACTTTGGATCAGTTTCCATCTTCCATTGAAATGAATAGAAAACCTTTAGAATTCAGAAAATCTGTGTTTTCTCTAAAGATCCAATCAGCCTGAGACCCATCAGAACCTTTAAACACCTCTTCACTCATTGGGTTTTTAGCCCAGAATTCACCTTTTTAGTCTCTTTGACTGTTTTTATAAAATCACTGTTTAGCTTTGATGGAAACTTGGACCACTCAGATCAATCCCTGCATTGCTGCTGTTGTCATGGAGATAAGTTGTTTGGATCTAGAAGCAACTTTTCTTCCTGCCCCAGATTTCCCTCTGAGTTTGTAAATTAGAGCCAAAATGTGTTGATGTGTGTCTGGTTTCATAAAATGTCATTTCTGTAGCAGTCCTAGTTTTTGTCAGATCCTCCCAAAGCTCTGAGAATTCTGCTTCCAGAGTTTGGAACCATTTTCCTCATCAACACTTCATCTGCAGCCTTTGTTGAAACAGTTAGATGTCCTCCATGAAGAACTGTCAAGACATGAGCTTTAACACTTTAGACATTCCACCCTCTTCTAATCACTGGGAGAACTTTCACTGCTTTCTGCCTTTGGAAATTCTCAGTTACATACTCACCAACACTGGGTTGTGATAAATATGCTGATGTTTTTTTTTTTTTACCAGTTTTTTGGTCCACAATTATTTGTTGTTTCTTGCCTTTTGTTTATAAACTGGCGAAAGAACATTGTTCTAACATTTTAGTTTCTCTGATATTCACATAATTATTCTTAAGGACAGTAAAAAAAATGCTGTTTTAATAATTGAAATGAGAACCAGAGACTAAATAATAAGGCAGCTACTCTGCAGTGCATTTAGTCCTCAGTGCTGCAGATCAAATTACTAAGAGTGAACCACTGACCCCATCTAAAGGATTAATTGGCTGCTGCCATGAAGAAAAGTGGCCACAGCTACTGAATTTGAATTCATGCAAAAAAGAAAGAAAATGTATTCAAAATAATAAGTTAATAAACAATTTGTTTAATTTACTAACATCAGAGATACATCCATGGACGTTCAGAAAGGTAAGCTTGTGGGGATATATGTCACAGTATATTGCAGCAGCATAACCATCATCTCAGAAGTGAGGAGTACACATTATTCTTAGTGATTTATCTGTCTCTGGCATCAGTTTCTCCTTTTCTTAGTTGCTAAAGCTCCACATAATCCCCAACAGCCACAGTTTGGCACCAGGGGAGAAACTAGCCTGATTCTTTAAATTATATACTAAAGCATTTAGAGTTTTAGCTGCCAAATCTTATTTTAGTTACATATTGAGCCTTGAACATCTTGAACTAGTAGCCAGAAGAGCCAAACACTGAACATCAGTAATCCTCCATTCCTGTGATCAAATAATTACTTAGCAAACTACATTAAATTGTAGCGACAGGCTAACAGGGTAATAAGCCACATCATTTCATTGAATGGTTTGTTCAGAAAAGGTTTCTGTGGATCAGCCCCCATGTAAGTGCCATCTGGTGGAGGAATAAAGTATTGCAGATACAACTCAGATTTCAGCATTACATATCAGTTCTACCTGTTCCAGACACTTGTTGTGGATTTTCTCTGATTTTGGCTTTAGATAAATTCAATTGATTTGAAATTATTACAGAAGCAAACACTGACAGCGAATGCTGCAGGATAAATAAAATCCACCAGTAAAACAAACATCAGATCTGTTCACAGCATATTATGAATTAGAGGGGCCTGCAGTTCTACTTCTCTGATTGGCTGCCTGGAGTTTAAATTAGTTGGATCAGAATAATTTTAAAAGGGTCCTGCTTAATGTGAGAAAACAGAGTACCAGAAAGTGCTAAAAAACTGCTCTTCTCAGGACATTGTACACCGCCGATCAAAGAAGTTGCATTCAATGACCGTAAAGAGCATCGATTTTTTTCTGTGTTTAGTGACAACTCTTGAAACAGGGCATTAAACTGCTGGAGTTTATGGCGTGCCTTTCAGGTTAAAAAGTTAAAATAATAAGTTATGTTGAATGTCATCAGTTTGTAAGTAGATTTTTAAAAGTATATATTCTAGGCCGTAACAAATGACGTCGTAGTGAGTGCTCTGTTCGTTAGCAGCAGCTATGTAACTTGCTCAGGTTGTTTTTCCTCCATTAACTGCTCAGTAGGTCTAAATTGATCACATCCAGCTAAGCAGTCATCTGAAGTCAGATTGTCTAAAGTTTAAAAATGTTTTGGCCTTGGAGAATATTTATCTGTTAGTATTATAAGGGGATGAGTGTTTATTTTCATATTTAGACCTACGTGTGTGTTTTTCATGTATATAGCTTATCCCGCTAACGTTAGCTCATGCTAAGATCCTAATTCATGCTAACATGCTAACTTCTCTAATTTTCTTCATTCATGGAGGCTAACTGAAATGTACTTATTTTATGCTTACTCATACTGTGATCTAAGTGAGTAAAGTTTGCCTTATTCCTGTATTCTTCAGTTATACGGTAGTTGTGGAATGAGGACTTCATTAAAGGACTAGAAACGTCAAGCCTTGTGGTTTTTTTGGAGGGCTTCTAGCTAAACGTTATCTGGCTGTCTAGCCTAGCATCGTCACATGCACTGCGAGGGCAGCACAGCGGGACTTTCAGAAGACATTTTTCATGGATTTTCAACCAAACTCCTGGTAAAAGGACCCAGTTTGGTCCCTTTTGGCTTGCCTTATTTCCCGCTACATTCATCCTCCCAGTTTAGATGTTCTTCATCCTCCTCCTCATCATCACATCCTTCCCTCTTCCAGCCCTACAGGAGAAGCTTCTTAGAAACCATCACATTTTTGACATCAGTAACCTTGGCTGAGTTAAAAGAGGAAACAAGGCTTCAATCTCTGCTGATCTTAAAGCCAAACTGGATTGATGCTGCGTTGATACTGTATCACATAATACTGACACCGACTGGACATTTAAAGGCACTACAGACAGCTTATTGGACTAAACGGAATTGATTTGATGACCTAGTACAATGATATCATTTAAGTTATTGTAGGTTATATTATATTATTTGATTTTTATATTTAAATTTAAAATATCTTTGATATTTTTAGGAAGCAGCCTATAAATAGTGTAAACATATATCATAACATTAAAATTAGGGGAAAATGTGAATGAGGGTGCTTGTAGACCAGGATTTTAAATCATAATTTTAAAACATTAAGTACAGTAAAACAGTAAATAAACTAAGTCAATTTGAAATGAATTTTAATTTAGATAAGTTGAGTTATAATTGAGAGGAAAAGGATGACACAATGAGAAAATTTAAATAAAAACACATTGGCTGAAACGTTCCTATTCCTTTTAGGCTCCAAAATTCTTGATCACTTTAATGATAAACTGCAAAATATGAGACCATTTTTTAGGAGATGCATCATGTGGACAGATCCGTTTTTAAACCCAGTTTAGTGAGTCAGTCAGTTAGAAACAACTCCT